CGCCTCGCCCGCAAGTCAATGCCGGCCAAGCATTCTCCTCGAACTCCGTCAGTCCCTGTCTCACTCGCACGGCCAGCAGCTGGCCGAAAAAGAGCGACCTCCTCGACTCGACAAACGTTCTTGGAGCATGCACGGGCAAGAAGAATGCAGCCGCTTCAACAAAGATGAAACGACACTAGAAAGTGCGTGCGAGCGCCATCAAAGCCAGGTCAAAATCAGACAGATGGAAAGCCGGCAACAAGATCGGACCATGTCCACATAAGGAGCTCTGAACAACACAGGAGCACGTGTCACCCCAGCCCAGTCCCCGAATCTCGTCGCCTGTCGAATGAGAAACGATCGGCCACGGTGCGGTCGCATCCTCCGGCGCAACGGATCATATACGCAAGCACACACACACACACACACGCACAGACCCACGCACACTCAGGCAGGCAAGCGCACACACTGTTCCCCATGACGTGGCGCCGCAGGCTTCACACACACACACACACACACTTGTGAAGGGGCCCAGGGACACACACACACAGTAATAAATACACACAAATTACCGGATTGCCCATATTTCCCAATATTTTCGGGGTTCCTGTCTTCCCCCCCCACTTCCCATGTTTTCCCCATTTTCCAAAGAAGTCGACGATACTTGTGTCTGTGTGCTTTTCCCCCTCCTGAACCTGGCACCGCGTCGACGCGCGCGGCGGCGAGGCGTAGACAGTCATGGGGGGGAGCGGGCTCGCGGCCGGGGGTCGGCTCGCGCGGCGAAGGGGGAGACCAGGAACCGCTCCGTGGGGCATCCGCCGGACCACCCGCGCGGGGGCGCGGGGGGAAGGGGCGAGAAACGGGGAGCGGAGGGCGACTGGCGGCAGGCACGGGTGGAGGGCACTGTGGGGGAGCAAGAAAGGCACTGACACACACACGCACGCACGCGCACACACAGTCACACACACACAGTCACACACAAACGCACACACACACACACACGCACACACACACACACACACACACGCACGCACACACACGCACACACAGTCACACACACACGCAGTCACACACACACACACACACACACACACACACGCGCGCGCGCGCCGCGGACACGTGTTCTTCCTCCGCAGCGTTAAGACCCCAGCTGGCAACACCGGCGGGGCGCTCTGGCGCGAACTGCGTACGCAATGATGACGCGTGCGCTCCAACAGGAGCCCTTTGTTCCATCGGGTCCCCCGCAAACGCGTATAAACGCGCACCAAGCCTGGCAAGGCACCCGGTGCGAACGGCCAGACGCAACTGCGGCAAACGCACACGCACAAAAAGAGTCTGACATACACAAACGCAAACACAGACACTGACACTGACACACAAACACGCACACACACAC